CCGATTTCTAATTGAAAAAATTTGATTAGTGAAATTATACTTTAGTTACATATTAATTTTTAACTTGATATTGTACTCACGCATCTCTGAACAACCGAATCAATCTTCTCTCCGTTATCTATTTTGAATGCCAAGGTTAATTTAATTATTAATATTTTTTTAAAAAAATCAATCCTTTGGTTGAAAAAGAAACCATACCCTCTGCAAATCTCTTATTGCACCTGATCCAAATCTCACTCCTGGTCCTGCTACCTCCTCACTAATATTTCGAACACTCCAACACCTATGTCAAGCTCCCTTTCTCTTCTTCTCGGCTATTATAATTTTAATGTAAGGAATATGAAAATATCAGAATTTGAATCTCTAAAAAAAAAAAAAACAGAAAATCTTATAAAAAACTTACTTCTTCATCAATTTCATCTCTAGTTTCATTTTCAGTTTGATAGTCATCATCATCATCAGCATCACCATCATAACCCTCAGTCTCATCACCAGCATCAGATTCAGATTCATCACCATCTTCAATTTCTTCAACAACCTCCTCAACATTTCTAGAATAATTAATATCAAGGATTTAAAAAGGACGTGAATTTAATGATTTCTGAATTTTGCACATAGCTATGAAACATGATTGCTTTTTATGATAATACAGTCAACCCCAATAAACTGACCTTTTTGGAATCACAAAAATAGGATTGGCTTATCAAAATTCAGTTTATGAAAAACGATTTTTATTATTATTGATTGTTCAAATGTAAAAATGTATAAAATAATAAATTTTATTTATAAAAGGTTTGGGTGATTGACAGTATGGTGGAGTAAACTGGATTTTATCATCAATTTATGATCAACTGGTTTTCACAAATATTCTGCTTAGAAAGTTGCATTTTATTATGTTGCATTGAATGTTAGATTCAGTTTATCAAGTAGAAATTACAATTAATAAAATTCGACTTAATGAAATAATTTTTATTAAATATGATTTGATTAACCAATTTGGTATTGTTATAAAGCAAAAATTGGTTTATATTAGTTCAATTTATCGAGGTTTGACTGTAGTGATAATAATTTAATCAGGCAATAAATTTAGTGCACCCAAAAAAAAGGTATGTCTTAAGAAATTAATATTTAATGATTAATAGTAATAATAATTATGATTAAAGACACCTGCCATAATTGGTTATTGTGGCAATGGTAACTACCATTATAAAATAAATGCAGCTTCTGTAAATTTTATTTTTACATGACCTATTAAATTTTGGTATGATTCAATTAATCTTGGAAGGAAATATTTTAAATACAGTCAAACCTCGTCACAGCGGACCTCAACGGATTTAAATTCGTGCCACAATGTTAACGGATTTTTGATTGGGAACCTTCTATATGACTACTAATCTTACCACAGCGGATTCACGTGACAGAGAAATTTATAAAATTATCCGAATTACTAAAAAATAGTAGATAGGCAACAAAAAAAATTTTTTTTTAATTTACGGATTTAATTAAATACAAAACAATAAACGGATTATTTGATCAAGTAACAAAAAATTTCCAAGTTTCTAAAATAATTTATCAAATGCTTGCGATTAACAATATTTTTTAAGTTTCTAAATAATTGATCCAACGTCTGCAGGTAACAAACAATTAAATGAATTATTTGTTCAAAAGTTTACAAGTAACAAAATTTTCCAAGTTTCTAAAATAATTTATCAAACGCTTGCGAGTAACAAATAATTAAATAGATTGTATGTTCAAATATTGCAAGTAACAAAATCCCAAGTTTCCAAATAAATAACTGAAAGTTTTTAGACAATAAAACGAACATGATTTATTATCCTTCTCCAAAGATCAAAATTTCAAAATGTATAAATTAAAATGAAAATTTTGTTTATTAAATTTTACAACTATAATCGAAAAAAAAATAATGAAAAATTAATACAACCAAATATTTCATCTTATTTCAAAAAATAGATTTTTTAATTCCTGCATATATTAGTATCATGTGTTTTTATTATTAATTCCATTGTATTATTATCTATTACTATTAAAAAATTTTTTGTCGATCATGATCATCACCATAGCGGATTTCTTGTCACAACGGATTTTTTTTGGCTGGTCCCATCAATCCGCTGTGACAAGGTTTGACTGTATGCAATTCCACACCTCCTGTAACATATCGTTTGACTAATACAGTGTGTGACAAAAAAACTAAATTCAACATAGATTCACGAAAATTGCACCAACTCCAATGATAAATATACCATTTAGAAGTGAAAAAGCCACAGAATAAACTTTATTAAGCTTAAAAATTGATTTGTTCACCTTTACTTTCAATAACTAACTCACAATAGTGTCACATTTAATTACTAAATTATTCATAACTGATTTTGGAATAGAATTTCATTATTCTCTCAAAAACTTCAAATTGACCAAATTTTTGGGCATTTGTTTTTCAACATTGCCCTTAACAATTACCCATAAATTTTCTATGGGGTTAAGGTCAGGACTACAAAAAAGGCCAGTTGATAATTTCAGGTGCATTTTCAGCAAGAAATGCTCAAGCTACTTGGCTTGTATGCTTGGGATAGTTATCTTGCTGAAAGCACCACTTTTTTCCAAGCATTTCATTAAATTCACTGAGATGGTCTTCAAGTATTTTAACATAAAACTCACCATCCATTATCTGCTGGAAGCAAAATAAAGTTGTCATCCCCTTTGAACAAAAACCACCCCAGGCAAAGTTTTTTCTATGATCCTTTGGCATCAACAAACTAGACATTTATCTTTATGCCAACATTGAATTGTATTCCAGTACAATTTAAATTCTGTTTCATTAGTGAATAATGTTTTTTCCAATTGTCATTAAGGTGACACTTGGCCCATTCAACATGATTTTGTTTATGAGTTTCCATTAACATTGGTGTAGTTATAGGCATGTTTTTTTTTATACCCTAAGGACTTTAAATGTCTGCCAATTGTATGGTAGGACACATCAATATCACTGTTATTAAGTTTAATGGCAATAGAACACAATGACATTGAGGTATCTCAGCAAATAGATTGGCCAATGGTTTTTGCTATATTAGCTGTTATTTTCTTTGGATGACCATTTCTGCTTTTATGCTCCAAAGTTTCATTTCTTTTGAACTTTTTAACATTATATTATATACATCAGGAAAATGGGTACAAATATTATGCGTATATAATACGCAATTGCAGGGATTAAGCATATAATATATGTACAATTTGCATACATAAAAAAATATGCAATTGTGTATTATATACGCATAATATTTGTACCCATTTTCCTGATGTAAAGAACTGCTTTATATTGTGATCTACCTTTAAATGAAAAAGGAATTATGGTAGAAACTAATTTGGATGCCAAAAAGGAACTATCATCTATAATGTTAAGAGAATACAATATAATTTGATAACCTAATGACCAAGAATAATACTAACCAATGACTTGAAATTCTCACTTTTAAACAATAAAAACACCTACCAATGAATTTGCAAACTGAAAACTTTTATGTTTGTAGCAGTCTTAATAGGAACATCCAAGTGGTCAAGCAAGTGTGAAACTAAGTTTAAGACATCACTATGTAATGAATTCTTTGTATTGCCAACTGCATGATCTGTTTTTGGTGATGATGGTGAACCAGCAACCTCCATATGCCAAATTTCTTTATCATCAAACAATCAGATCCCTTCAGTATTTAAGAGATCATTGTTAAAAAATATTTGTTATTTACACTTTGCATCTGACTTGACAATTCCAGAGTTAGTAGATGATTTCATTAATTTTGATAATAGGAAGTATGATTCAATCCAGTCAATGGTTATATTTCTGAATGTTATTTCATAAAATTTAAAATCTAGTGTAAGAAAGGGTTTACTGGTGCGAGCGTGTAAATTCAAATACCGCTCGTGAGGTGTCCAATAAATATATAAGATAAAATAAAATAAAAAGTCCAATATATTAATCTCCCTGTATCGGCACACAGCTCAGGGTTCTCAAGTCTATACCAGGCCTCTGTATCGGCACACAGCTCAGAGCCTACTCAAAACTCTATTTCAGGTCTCTGTATCGGCACACAGCTCAGAGCCTAAAATCTCTCTCTCTTGCGCAATCTCTCTCTACAGTACTAATGGAAGTACTGCTGGCAAAGCCTAAAAATGATCAATAAATATTCCACTGTCTGACTAAGGTGTACCTTAGTTAGTATGGTCTTAATTTGAGGTGAGGTATGCTTTTCAGCAAAGGTTTATTAAGGACTTTATTAGAAGTTTGATTTATTGTAAAAGTGTTATGTGTCTTTATTAGCGATAATATTTCTGTTACCAGGTTATTATTATATTATTATTATTATTGTATCATGAACATGATGATTCTTACTTGGTCTAAAACCAAGCCTATTTATACCTCTTGAGGTATTACAAATAACATGACCTTTACAATATTTTGTCCAAT